CGCTGTGGCTCAAGTGGTAGAGCACTAGCCTTGAGCTGAAGAGCTGAGGGACAGTGCCCAGGCCCAGAGTTCAGGCCCCACGACCGGACCCAAAAATAAATAAATAAAAATATATAGTTAAATAATAATCTCATGGACTTTTCTGCCCAGGCTGGCTTTGAACCGCAATCCTCAGATCTCAGCCTCTTGAGTAGCTAGGATTACAGGTGTTTGCTGACAGTGCCTGGCATAATTCTTGATTTTTGAACCTAAAATAATTTTTTTTCTTGGATATCGGATCTCTCTAAGTAGTTCAGGTGGGCCTTAAATTTGGGACTCTCCTGCTTCAACCTCTTGTATGATGAGATGTGTGCCACTTGTAATTAATCATTGTTAAAAATTATTCACAATAATTTAAATGTGAAAAAAATCAAACCTTTCTTCCAGTATAGATTTTATTTTATTTTCCTGTCACACCCCCCCCCTTTTTTCTCTGCTGGTACTGGGGTTTGAACTCAGGGCTTTGTACTTGCTCAGCTTCTGCTTGGCTGGCACTTGAGCTATGCCTCCAGCCTAGCTATTTTGCTGATTATTTTGGAGATAAAAATCTCTAGACTTGGGAGGAGTTGGGGAGGGAAGGGATGGTAGGGGAAAACCAGAGGGGGTAACAATGCTCGATAGAAAATATACTCATTACCTTACTCATGTAACTGTAACCCTTCTGTATAGTATCTTTACAATAAAAAAAATATACATTTAAAAAACCCCGACTTTTCTGTCAGCGCTGGCTTGAACCCAGATCCTCTGGATCTCAGCTTCTTTTTGTTGTTGTTGTTGGTTGTAGGGCTTGAACTCAGGGCCTGGGTGCTGTCCTTGGGCTCTTTTGCTCAAGGCTAGCACTCTACCACTTTGAGCCACAGCTCCACTTCCGGTTTTGGAGTGGTTAATCGGAGCTAGGTCTCCCAGGGACTTTTCTGCCTGGGCTAGCTTTGAACTGTGATCCTCCAGATCTCAGCCTCCTGAGTAGCTAGGATTACAGGCATGAGCCATGGGTGCTTCTTGAGTAGTTAGGATTATAGGCATGAGCTACCGGCCCAGCTCCCAATACAGATTTTCTACACACATGCACATACATGTACACACTCAAGTGGAACTCCATGTTCCATCTGGGCCAGACTCCTGCCCAGGCTCCTTACAGGCAGATCCAAAGCTTTGCTGCTTTCTTATCTCCCCTCTACAGCCTCTCAGCTCCTCTGCAATTCCAAGACCATTTCAGGCCTGGCTCCCCTGCCATCCTCATGCCTAGGCCACCTCCTGATGGGCTTTCCCTGGTATCTATTGATTCATGTAGAAAGGAACGAAAGCATAGCCGGGCGCTGGTGGCTCACGCCTGTAATCCTAGCTACTCAGGAGGCTGAGATCTGAGGATCGCGGTTCAAAGCCAGCCCGGGCAGGA